ATCTTAAGCAAAAAATATATTTGTCATGGTAAATCACGTGGGCAGTACTGTGTGCCAAAAGTAAACACAAATTTGGATTTTTTCCGAATGATGAGGTTGATGATACTCTCACCACTTCTATAACCAAAATATCCCAGAAGTATATCTATTCGTACATTTATTTATTTATAATTTTTTTTAAAAATTAGATCTAAAATCCACGCGCAACGGCAAAAAATGCAAATTTAGGGTGTTGAAAATGTTTCACATGAATCCTGGACAATAAAGTACTTTTTAACACCTTTCACCCTGCAATAAGGAAATCTTTAATTAAAGTCAATAGTTGAAGTTTGAAGGCAGCAAGCTCGGCCGCTTAAAACAAGAGTCTTGAACAACTTTAAAACATCACATCACATCACGCACGTGTTGGCGCTTAATTCTTATGCTGAATATTTGAATTTCCCGCAAAATATTGTGTACAATTGTAGTAATAGGGACTGTGTTTAAAGAATATCACGAGAATCTGATCAGATTACGAGCTTACTTTTACAGCTGAAAATAACAGTCAGCAGAAGTAATTTGAGGTATTCTTATCGTAGAGTAAAGTAATTTTTCAGGTTTAGTCCTTACCTCTGAAAGTCGATGTCACACAAAGTTCCCGTTCCACAGATTTGCAGCCCCTGTGAGGAGATTTCTTGGATCCAATCACCATCAAATAAGAGCTAAAATGTACTTTAAGGCTTTTGATATTTGATTTTACGTTTTTCCCCTTGAATTTAGCTTCAAAATAGGCAGTGCATTCTATCGTTATCATAAAATCTCGATATTTACGCCGCCATGTTTGTTTTACGTTCAACTAGTTCTCAGTGCGTTTCGTCCGAGAAAACGTGTCACGTTACACGCGCGGCAAAACGCCCCAACGAGGAGCTTAGCAGGAGTGAACTTTTACGTATTGATTCGGAGAGGATGCCATTAGCTTCAATTAAATTCCCCAGCCTACCCAGTCACCCGTGAAGAGAGAGAGGCCAACGTTGAGTCACGCAAGGAACGAGCGAGACAATCCCCTCACGCACCCCTTATATCAGCCTTTACACGAGAGGAAACGACA